TCCAGGGACCCAATCTTCATCACTGAAGGGTCCGGACTTAGTCAGGACGCTGTATAGATGCTTCCTGGGAGATATGAGCAGCTGCGGCTATGGGGTGAAGAAATCATCTCACCATCGCTGAGGCGAACTTGTAGCTGCCATTTTCCAATTATGTTGTCTAGGGTAGCCACGTCGCTAATTATGTGCCTCTACTCAAGCTCTTGTTGCATAAGCAAGTGATCTCTTGCCTCCGAGCTGCACTTATTGTGAGCTCCTGCGCCAGCTTAGATAATCTGGCGTCCAAGATATAAGCAGAATAATGGCTCCACAGCCAAGAGCTATTTTGCTATGAATTCCGACTTATCAGATTGTAGACAGCGTGAAGGTGATGGTGGGATGATGAGGATGATGAGTCTCGAATGGTCGTTAGATCGATACAGCACCGCCCCACGTGACCCCTCCGCGCCATACAATTTCCTCCAACTTCCACAACTTGGTCCTCCTTTCCTCGTAACTTTTACGTGGATAATGCCACGTTAGTAAAATGGATGGACTACTCACGGCCGTTAAAACGGTCAAGCACAGCCAGCAGCCCATCTTGTCGGCTGCTGCCGAGGGAATATATTCAGTCACCACATCTAACGGCTCTGAGCACCGGTCCAAAGCCGATCTCCCCGGGGACCCAACATCCTCAGATCATATCTTGGCCGTCTTGAAGGCAAAGCCCGACGAGCACGAACTTGCTCAAGTTCTAGCCATACTAGATCCATCAAATAAGACAGCAAGTCCAAACGGTTTTGATATCCGGGTTCCGCGCCCAGTAACAGCGCAAATTCTCAATGCTCTGGTTAGCATTACAATCCCGGATCATTGGGAGGCTCTTGGGCCACAATCCCAAAGCTCAAAGTCTGGTAGTTCGAAACTACGAGCTGCTCTTCTGAGATGTCTTAGCAGTGTCGCGGGTATCAGTTGCTTGGTGACCCAGCTCCGTTCTCTCATAGCTGCGTCCCGTTCATCGGCTGAGCAGGCGAAATCATCCGGTCATAAGATACAGATTAGAGATATCATTGCGGTTATTTCCGCCTTGCTGGAGCCGAGTGACTTTGCGTTTCGCCTATACGCTGACATGAATAATCTGTACAGCAATGCGACGCAGAAGCAAGTGGCTTGGAGGGAGTTGCTCTCGGTGCTTGCTGCCAGTAAAGTATTGTCTACAGCGGCAGAAGCACTTACTCTGATCTCTGACCTTGACGGGATTTCTACAATCTCATGGATCGGGGAAGGCTCAAAATACGCTACCTGGCTAGGTTCGAATATCTGCTATATGGCATCGAAGACTGCTCTCAGTGATGAAGAGGCTTGGAAATCCGTGGCTCTTTTGACTGGGAGGTCGCTAAGCTTGGGCTATACAGGTAATTGAGTAAGCCTTTACTGATAGGCTTGGTAGGCTAAGCGTGATACAGATCAAATTGTCAAAGAGATCTATACCGGACTTCTTGTTCAGCAACCGCTTTCCGAACAGTACAGCTCGCTTTTTGACCGTCTCCGGCCAACGGAACAACTAGCATTGCTTGAGGCTGTCTTTCGGGATCTTGAGAAAAAGCAGTTCTTAGGTGAAATACCTGGTAACAGTGCCAGCAACACCTCGGGACAAGTGGTCAGTAGCGTAGCAGCTCTCTGCTCAATTGCCGTGTCAAAACGGTCACATCTGCAAGGTCAGATCATAGATTGGCTGTCAAGAGGCCAAGGCGGTTCGATCCATTCACTGGGGTTGCGCCGTGCTCTAGTGGCTACATTGGCACAGCAAGAAGGTAGGAGTAAGCCCGCTTAACAATGTTCTTCTGGCTGACAGGGATCACATTAGACTCGATGAATACTCTTCTTAGTAAGAGTCTAGATCAATCAGGCGACAAGTTCTACATTCAGCACGCTCCTATCAGGTGTCAAGAAGGTACTGTATCGATTCATTCTGTATAGCAGAAAGGCACTAATATATATCAGCCAATGCCCAAATTGTTCTTCTCGCTGCGGGCTACCTCCAGCGGCTTGATGCTGCAGCAATGATGTTTATTGGACGCACCGGACTCTTTCTGAATACAATCTCAAACCGCCTAGCAGCGTCTTCGCCGAGAGCTCGCTTTCTCGGTATGTTGATTGGAACTACCATTTCGCAGCTCATCGAGCAGCAAGGTAAAGGGATGAGGTTCGATCTCGAGGAAATGGAGAGCGATGAGGCACATTGGTATTTGGACCTTGCCAAAGTACACGATACTGTTGGGTCTATTGGATCCATTGAATCGCTCAGTGGACCAGCGACAAAATCGACGGAAAAGCCTACCAAGAAAAGGACCTCTGCGACTGATACGCCCAAGAAAGACACTAGAAGAGCAAAGATTGTTGCTATAGAAGAGATTAATGACTCGGATCAAGAGGATGAAGAAGATGAAGACTTCATCCCATATGAAAAGCCCGATGAAGACCCCTCAGATTCTGATGATGACCCAACCTTGCTCCAACGCAACAAACCTACCGCACCAGTGTATGTGACAAAACGAACCGTAACACATATGGCCACTAACCATGAGTTAGGTACATCCGCGACCTCATAACCTACCTACGCGACACGGAAAACGTAGAGCGCTACGAGCTGGCTGTTTCCACCGCCCCTTCCTTAATCCGACGCAAGACCGGCTTTGGAACGGAGCTTGCTGAGAATATAGAAGAACTAGCACTCGTTGTCGTGGGCTTACAGGAGCATGGGAAGATCCCCAGATTCCAGGAAATCCAACTTCAAAGTATGATCGCACTGATCGTATCTCAACCTCTCAAGATGGGCCACTGGTTCTCGGCCATTTTCTTCGATGGGGACCTATCTCAACCACAGCGCTCTACGATCCTCACAGCTCTAGGCTTGAGTGCTCGCGAACTCGGCGGAAATGGCGAAGCAGACGCTAAAGCACTAGGTCTTCCACGCGTATCCGACGCTTCGTTCCCGTCCAAAAAGCTCCCTGGTAACCTCGAGGCTCTGTATCAGCCTGAGGCCGAATCGCCAATCGCAAACCTAACCAAGCAATTATCACGCGCCTCACTCGAACCACTAGCTGCCGATGCCTCAGATTCCCTGTCTGGGCCCAATGCACTCAAGGTCCGCACATTCTCCTCCCGAATGGAAGTCGAAAAGAAACGTCAGCAACGCGAAGCACAGCGACAGAAGTCCACCGCAAAGGATCTATACAGAGTCCTTGCAGATGGGTTCTTCTACCCTCTGAAGGGCCGTTTCGAAATGATGATCATGCAATTTTCATCGTATGTTCTCCTTCCTCCCCAAATTTTCCACACAAGTCATCATCACTAACAAACCAGTTCCACCGCTCCCTCCTACAACCCCTTCTACGCCCCCCATCTCCTCAGTCTCTTCATCCAAACACTCACACTCATCCTCTCAACAATGGGCCCTCACACGCCCCATCTCGCAGCCGCCACACACGAAACATTGACGTTCCTGCTCTCCCTCCACGCTCGCCCCATATCAGACGATCCCGGCATCTTGTCCTCCCTTCTATCCCTCTTCCTCGCAGCTGTAGACTTGAACGTCGCCTCCGGGACATCCGGAGAAGAGCGCCTGGTCACTGAATTCGCCACGCAAGTCATGGAGCTGCGAGAATGGGTAGGGGAGATATTTGACAGAACGCCGCCGGTCCAAGATACGAGCGATCCGCGGGAACAGGTGCGGACATTAGCCGCAGGTGTCATGGTGAAATTGGGAGAGGTGATAGAGCGATACCAGGGACGGCTGATGGGTGTGAATTCCGGATTCAGGTACTAATTATAATTAAACAATCCCAATAAAGTCTATAACAACTTCAACACGATATACCCAACCGTCATGTCTGATCCTCTAGAAAAGGCGTCGTCCCCTCTCACCCATTCACAGTAGTGGTGGTGGTGATGCTGATGGTGGTGATATCTATAGGTATCATTCCCACTCCCCTGTTGTTGCCTACGAACGCTCCTATCACAATTTGGTAACAACGGTACGACGTGCTGATAGTAAATCGTTTGGTATGTGTTAATGCTTTTGTACTTCCATATATAATGCATTATCCGATACGTTTAGGCTGTCTACGCAGAAGAGTAGTACCAGGCTCGACAATCTCCGATCCTGCTGGAGCAAGCGCAGATGGTTGGTGATTTCTGTTGAAGGAGGGCGCATTTCAACAAATAAGAATAGTAGATTCTAATAGATAGTACTGGAATCATAGTAGTTACGGCGGTGCCAAAAAAACACTAAGTCTAGACCCGTTCCTCACAGTATGTCAATGGGGCGGGGCGTGCGCGAGATACGTGATGGTGTGTAGGGAGAGGGTTAATTGCAACTACCTAGATTAGTAAGTCTGCTACGTGGACGTTGTAATGCGGTTGACATAAATGAGAGCTTCTAGAATCTAGACTTAACAGGTAGCGGGTGCTGGCTCGTTAGGGACGTATTTGAAGGGGGACGTTGACGGTCCTCTTCTCGTTTTGCTTTGCTTATAGAGGTGTCAAACGTGGTGGCTTTGGTCATATTGGTCCGGTCCTATTAGGTATGCGAAGATTCTCTATTTTAGGGTCATGTGTTCTGGATGGAGTTGCAAGTGGCTTGGGAAGCTGGAAGACCAAGTCTATGATGCTAAAGCCTCTCTTAAAGTTTGCTGGAGACTTACGCAGAACTACAATATAGAGAGTCAGTGTGAGAAGCCCTCCAGGATACGGAAGACCTCCCAAAGCACGGGAGATGGCCGACGGACGTGCGTCACAGGACGCAGCAGAGCGCGAGGCTCGCAATGCTGTCACTCTCGGGCTGGGTGACTAGAAGACTACGCAACAATTGTCATCGTCTGGGAAGAGCGCCCAGGATCGCCGGAGAAACGCGACACGTCGGCATGCTCAGAATGAAAATTCTGGCAGTCAGGCGGCGACTCAAGGAGACACGGGGCAGAGCGGGAGTCAAAACCAAGCATGACATCGATCAGATCGATTGTCTAATTTGCAGAAGGTGACTCTGGGTTAGATGGTGCTTCTTGGGCGACTGAAAAGGCATCACGAAGATGACCTTCATATATCTCTTTCTCTTTCAGCTTGCCGTCAAGGAAAGATTGTATGTCCGGGGTCCAATATGGCGACACAGTCCGTTCAAACTCCACCATCCCAGCATCATCCAGTTTCGAGTATCTTGGTTGTATGTGATCTAGGAAGATATTGTATAAACCTTTGGGGGTTTCGAGTGCGTGAAGTACCAGAAACTTCCAATTGCCCAGCCTCGTCTCATGATACTCGCGAGACCCAAATACTTCTTTCCCGCTTGAGAGCGAGTCTGTTCTTCCTGGTCGAAGACTTCCATGAATTCGGCATGAATCTCACTGAAAGCATCAAGATGTTCTCCTTCGTATAACTGGTCCACTCCGCGACTTGTGAGCCAATAGGGCGGATGGAGCATCTCAACTGGTCGTGAGCATGTCCACTCTAGGTCAACGAGTGACTTGATGTTCCAGTCGCTGTCGACAAAGAGGTTACTTTGGTGTAGATCCGTCAAGGTCATGATAAACGGCCCACGTCGATGTTTGCGACAGGAGAAATATGGCAGCAGAGCTCGCATTATGGTCAGAGTTGACAGCTGCGCTTCACCGTCGGCCTTGTCTCGTATCGAATTTGGGACATGGCGTAACCGACTGTCATGATAGGACAGCAAGTCCATATAGTAACTATCGCTTGTTGAATACACGAGGTCTCTGTCCATGTTTGTGGGGACGGACTCGTTTTCTAGATGATGAAGACGAAGTGTTAAAGGGCGATTGGTGAGCTTTACAATCCCTTGGTTATCGATTGTCAGAGATCCTATTCGGTCGAAAGGAAACTGGGCTAATGATAGTATAATCTGACTCAACCCGCGGAAAAGGTTGGCTCTGCGTTTGCGGTCGTGGCGTAACCTATCCCAAGACTCAGAAAGCATCACGGCATCAGAGCTTCCGACGTGGTCCAAAAGTAAATAACCCGTTTTCAGGCTGTAAGGGCAGTTTCCACTTGAGTAAGGTGGTCGGATTGGATACCCGATAAGAGGCGATAGCACACGGTGAAGGTACCATTTTAGGCGGCTGACGATGGAGGTGTGCTGAATCGCGGTGAACTAGGCCAGGGTTAACTTAACTCTCAGAACTTCAGCAACTCACTTACACATGGGCCTTGTGCAAATGCGAAGCCCCACAATTGCGGTATGGGTATAGAAGGACAGTTCTGCCGAGTCCATATATAAGTTGCAGCCTCGCAGCGAAGCTTTTCGTCCGAATCCCTGGTTGTTGACTCTCTCCCACTTTATAAGGCAGAGGAAACCTCACGAGGACCCTTTTGGATGTTCTACCATCCTGCCCATCAATGACAACTGGGATGCACACATTGAAGCTTCCGGAGATCCAGTCTTTGACTTCTTCGACACGGCATGTCTGTTTTTTATTTGAATTCATATGATACGACACAATAGATTCGATTACGGTGCGATGTTGATACAAGTATACATAGAAATCAAAGCGCCGTTGTGGATATGATAGCTCTTGGAGGACATTGTCATCGTCGTCTAGAGCCGCAGAGAGACTGATTTGTCCGTGGAGTAGCGGCAGCGCACCCGGCATGCTGGCCGGTCGGGTGGTTTGAGGGACTACAGTGCAAATGAATGTCAATGTAGCCTCTCACAGCGCAAAATAAATCAGACTCAAGGATTTCAACACCCACTGTCTGGCCTAATGCCAAAATTGCGAGGGTTGGGAAGACTGCTAGGTGACTTAAGGGGATAGAGATAGACGGACAACGAGTTAGAAGAGTAAGGCCAATGTGCTAAGGCCGCTAGCCCCCTTTCGGGTGGAGTTTTTTCAGGCCTGAGGCCCCCAGCTCCGGTACCTAGGATACTTGGGAGGAACGACAAAAAAACACATTGCGACAACTATGCACTGCTGCTAATGATCTAGATAATTGCCACACCCCACGCTTAGAAAGTTGAAGTTTCATAATCATGATTCCTGTTGGGCTTGTGGGACCCCACAGACATGAAATGGGCAGCGGCGCACCAGCTTCTAAAGCATGACCTACAGACCCCAAGGAATCATACAGTGTGGGATTGATTTCATCATTCGCTAACATTAAGTCTTTACTACCTTTCACTCCAACTTCGCAAAATTCCCCTTCTCGATCGCCGCATCCATCATCCGATCACCATTAATAAGGCTCGTCGTACAAATCACAATCTTCCGCCGGGGAGCTTCCTGCGCCGCAATAAACCTCAACGCCGCAATTTCTGTGAATGTAATTCCGCCCAAAAAGAAAACATAAACGGTCTTGATCGCATTATTCCCGCTGATCGTCTGCCGCGCCCTGATGGCCTTGTCGTCACCCTTCTGTACAATGCTGAACGTAGCTCCACGAGCACTCTTCACTACGTCCTCAAAACCCAGCCATCCTGGGGACGAGGCGCTTGCAGGACTAGGTGTTGCAGCAGTGACAGGTCCGCCTCTGACAAGAGAAAGAATGTAAGGTTTCTGCAGAACACATTGAACAAGACGGATGCTGAGAGGGGCGAACCCGCTATAGACGTACGCAACGTCATTAGGATCCTTTTCGCTGACCTCTTCAACGACCAGTCGGAGGTTCTTGCGGAGGTAGCCATAGTTGGTCTTTGTGCCTGTCTGGGCGCCAGCGGTAGGGAGGAGCATGGTGGTGGCGGAAGAACGAGGCTGAAGAAGTTCCATTTTTTCGAGAGCCCAGAAAGTAAGAAGGTGTTGATGGCCGTAGGCTTGGATGATCTGACGCTTGAAGTTTTCGAGGTCGCGGGGGCGGAGACCACCGGACATGCACGATTCAAGACAGAGCAGACGGAGAATGGTCTTCAAAGGAACATCGCGAGCAATTAGCTCCTCAACGGCGTCGTGATGGTATGTAGCGTCGGCGCCCGCGGCGTTGTTTTGTTGGACTTCGAGAATCTTGCGGAAGATATCTGAGCGAGTGGTTCTCATGATTTCTTCGGCCAGGTTGGTATGGACTCGGAGACTTTGATGTTCCAGTTGATAGGTGGGAAGTTTGTTGACGAACTCGCGAAGCTCGGAGGTAGTTTTGGCGGCATGTCGGCTTTCGTAGTCGCTCTCCAAACGGCGTGCAACTTTGTTCAATATGTCACCTACAATAGCGAAGTTGGCGTCACGCAGCTGGCTGAAGAGTTGGTCGGAGGAGTCCAGTTGGACTTTCCGCTTTTGTCCTTGTTTTGAGGACTGCTGGGGTGCTTTAGAAGACTCCTGAGCCTGAGGCACTGCCGTAGGCCCGACAATAGAGGTGTCCACATCTGCTTGGTTATTCTTGATGCCCACTGTCTCATCGATCAATCCTTCGTAGGTCAATTGTGTCAGTAGCGCAGTCCCGAAGTCGACTTCGCGATCGATGATGATGAGGCTTTCAGTGCTTGCGCTAGGAAGAAGGCCTCTGGCAGAGACTCCAGCAAGACCCGAGCTCTCTTCAGCATCAAGCTCCTTTCTCATCCGCAGTAGGAGGTCTGCAAGGCGTCGGGCATGGTCACCCTTGCCAATGATACGAGGGAAGTAGCCATGTCTCTGCTGGATGTCCATGAGGGCTTTTGCAGAGTGGAAGATACATGCCGGATCCTTGTGCTGTGTGCCACTGGGTGTTAATAGTGTTTGGAACAGGAAGTTATGCTATTCCTTACCAGGTACAAGTCGCCAAAGGAGTCTTCTAGCTCCAAAGACAGCACATCTTGCTCCAAAGGGGCGAAGTACAGTGGGAATTCGGCAATATTCACGTCACCTATAATGCCGGCTTCTTCAAGGATGGAATTGCTTACAAGGGTCCGCCTCGGAACCCAAAATATGGAGAGTTCATGTTCAACATTGCCGTTGCGCTGAAGACGCTGGATCTGTTCTAGAGGAATGTTAGCTCATACTGATGGCATTCAATCGGGCGTGACTTGAAAGAAGGCCTTGAGATGAGCTGTATACAAATCTCTCTATGTTGGGATCTCTTGACTGACTACGTAGAGTGGAAGATAGATCTGCGTAATCTACTGTTTGTCCCGAAGAGATATAGAGGCATAGCTTCGCCAATGATCGCATGACGAGGCACAGGATAGAAAGGATTTACAATGGGAGAAGGCGACGGGGTGGTGATCCGGAAGAAATGGACATACCTGCCACGGCCCGCACCTGGCGTATCTTTTCCGCGTGGACTAGAAAGACGACGTTGCGCTGAGAGGAGTCCACGTTGCCATTCTCGAGCAGGAACACGCGATCTACACCGTATTCCTGGAGCAGCGAGAACTTGACGAACAGCCCGACTGGACCAGCCAGATCCTGACTGACGACAAGGTTTTTCTTACCACGTACCTGCACCACGAGATTCAGCCCATGCACAAAGGCGAGGAGGATTGCTGCTGCCTTGAGGGACACGTTGGAGGCTTACTCACGCCTTCAAGGAGAGTTAACAAATCCCTACGCGCCTTGTCCCTAAAATAGTCTGCATCAGACCCTGGATACGGCGCCATGGCTGCGGTGAAGCATGCTCCGGCGATGTGATTGGGAGGGGGAAAAGGGAAGATTGAAGGGAAGAAAACGGAGGGAGGAGAGGAAAGGCGGAAGCAAAACGAAGGCAACCACCAACTCAAAGTGGGAAAGTTTGCACGTTTGCAGCCACTGGTTCGTGGCTGCGAAAAGGGTCCAGCCACCCCACTAGCCTTTTAGGGATTAGTGTGTGCACTGCCTGTCATATTGATGGTTCTGATACCGTCATTACTCTCACAACTACCCATTTTATCTTTCTAGGATGATGTATCAGAATTACCCTCCGCCTTGGGTCTCGACCCTCCATCCAATAATGCCTAAGGAGGCGTTTCCCTGACGGCCGCTGCTCCCCTGACCAACTGGAGTTATTATTATCGTTGGTTTCACATCTTTTGCGCTGGTCCCTCTCTGATCCCCTTTTCTACCTCCATCTGTCCTCTTCTCAGATTCTATCCTCTCGCTCACGGATTAATCGTTACTAGCATATCCTTGACCTTCTCTCACCCTCACCAGCCGACTACTAATCTCTTTCGCATTCCACGCCATGGGCCGATTCGGTTTCAAAAAGTCCGGGGACGACGAGGAGGATTCCGGCAACCGTCTGGCACTTTTCGGCTCCAGATCGAAGAGCAAGAGCCCTGCGCCGCCTGCCAACCCCTACGCTAAACCTATCCCGACCGATCCTTACACCAAGGCCAAGATGCAGGCGGGTGTGGCTCCTCTGCCTGCCGGAGAACAACCGCCCGCAGCTGGCCCCTCTGGTGCCCATAACATCCCCGGAGATAACAAATATCAAGGGTATGCGCCGAATCGATATGGAAACCAGGGCGGTTATGGATCTGACCGCTTTGGTGGCGGGGGTGCTGCTGCCCCTGCCGCTTCTCGGTACGGCCCTGGCGGCTATGGAGGACTAGGTAGCGCCGATCCCAATGACCCCGCGGCGGCGGATGGCAACAGAGATGCGCTTTTTGGAGGGGCTCGGGATCGGGCACAACAACAACAGCAGCAGGCCGGCCCTCCTCCGCCTTACTCCGAGGGCGGAGCTGCCTATGGCGGAGGCAGCAACGAGTACAACACCTCCACTTACCAGGAGCGTCACCTTACTGCTGAGGAGGAAGAGGAGGAAGAAATTCAGACCATCAAGCAGGACATCCGGTTCATCAAGCAGGGTGACGTCGCCTCAACTCGCAATGCACTCCGTGTGGCTGCCCAGGCCGAAGAGACGGGTCGTGAGACACTTGCTCGTTTGGGTGCGCAGGGAGAGCGTATCCATGATGCCGAGAAGAGTTTGGATGTCGCTACAGTCGAGGGACGGATCGCGGAGGAGAAGGCAAAGGAGTTGAAGACACTCAACAAGAGCATGTTCGCTGTTCATGTGTCCAACCCTTTCACCAGTTCCCGACGCCGGCGAGAGCGTGATGAGCGGATTTTGAACACGCACCGCGCTGAGCGGGAAACTCGCGAGGGTACCGAGAAGGAGGCTTTCAAGACAAACCAACGGATGGAGCGCACATTCAGGGACATCGACAAGGAGGCGGCCAAGCAGACCACACGTAACAGGACCAACATCACTGATCGTGCCAAGTACCAGTTCGAGGCGGACAGCGAGGATGAGGCGATGGAGAACGAGATCGAACAGAATCTGGATCTGCTTGGAGGAGCTGCGAGCCGTTTGAATGGCCTTGCTCGGGCGACAGGTCGCGAGCTGGACGAACAGAACCGTCATTTGGAGCGTATCACGGCCAAGGTGAGTCCTTTTGAAATCCTGTCACGAAGTCCAATCTCGACTGACTGCTTTGTAGAGCGACTTTGTCGACGACCAAATCGCCATGAACCGGGCCAAGCTGGACAGAATCCATTAAGCTTGCCCTTAGAACCATCATTGACCGCCTGGTGCCGTCGAATTTCTACTGTGCTTATCACCACTTGCTACCATATCCTTGGCGTTTTGGGTATTATACTACATGATGCTTACTATCGGCCTTTTGGCCATTGTGTTTCGCATACGGAGGAAGTAATAGTCGCGAATAGAGATGTCAACCCTTTTAGCTCATACCCAGGACTTTCCATATCGCTTA